CGCAGTCTGATCAGGATCCACCAACTCTATTTTAAGTAGAGAAACTGATAGCGAACAGCATGGATCCTGATCAGACTGCGCGGACGCGCAGGCTGGTCTGGATCCATGCCGGTCGCAAACCCATTATGTTGGTTTTGTCGTGACACGGCTCATATGACTTTTACATCAACCTTTACAATTTTCAAGAAATCTTTCATTGCTTTCTTACAGTAGATATATGAAAAGTGTCTAGATTTCGTTAATTTAAAACGATACGGGGAGAGTACCTAGTTATTGACTGTAACATTGTTCGGCCGAAGGCCGTCTTAAATCAGTTTGATTTCCTGTAAAATGTAATTGGGAGAACTGAATATAAATGTACTGGGAAGAAGTGAATATACGAAGAATTTGCATTAGTCATTTTAAAATAACAAACTGAAATCTGGGAGTCTCATTGGTCATTCTAAAATAAAAAGCGAAAGACATTTGATGAATCATTCATTTGATATTATACACTTTTAACACGGATTTATTAAAAACATGATGATTATCAAGTGTAAGATCAAAAATCAGTTCAAAAAGCTTTTAAAAGAATATAAACTGATGCAAGTCTTAATCTGCTGGAACCTGAAGTAAAAAACAATTTTAGCCGCATCTTGCACATTTAAGCAGGCTTTATACTGTTAGCAGCTGTATTTTTGTATTTTCTTTTGAAATCAATTACACTTTGAATGAATTGTTGCAAATTCACAGCTGGGCAAATCCATTAATTAAATAAAGGTTAAAGGTAAACGCATTTTCTAATTGCTAGAGTTTGCTGATTTTATAAAAATTAAATAATAACGATAAAAACAGAGATTACGCAGAGTACACAATGCTGGTTCCCACTGCGCCGAAACTTGACACATCGGGTGCTGTTTAGTAGGGAAATAGCCTTCATTGCAAACAACAGTGGCAGAGTCCATAAGCGTTCTTCCAGTTATCTGAATCTTGCCATTATCTATCAGTTTCACAGATTCACACTCTAAAATTAGAAAATTGATTAAATAATAAAAGAAATATTAACATTTTTTTGGAAAAAAATCTTCCTTGTAAATATATTAATGCGTTCACGCTTACAGTCATAATTATTCGAGCATACGGATGAGTGTAGTTCAAGTTTTAGTATTGCTGCTGTTTAGGTGACCCTATGTGTATACTGAAGAAATAAATAGAACCCTAACAGATACCCTTTTAATGGCAAAATGGATAAATTTTCAATCAAACATTTGTAATTGGCTCAGAATAGCAGACACAGCCAACTGATTAAACTAACTGCGTTGTCGTTGAGTATACAAAAGGTCAACTTATTCTATAATACCAATGCTTAAAAGAACGCTCATTGAATAATTTATGCTTAAAATATGTTTAAAGACACATATTCAAAGGCATCATATTTCGTATGACCCTTCTTACATACAAGGATTTTTGAATACGTAGAAAATTCGCAGTCTAGCTATTCGGTGCCATTAATACTATAAAAGACCATAATCGAACAGCTTCGAGAGTTGACAACACAGTTATTAAACTATTGATGAAGGACAAAGAGTTAAAAGAGTTAAAAACTCTTATTTAATTAAATGTTTTACCAATATCTCTGCATTGGTACGTCTCAATGCCAGGAATGCACCTTTGAAAGTCAGAGCAAGGCCGTGATCTGCAGTTTCCAACCAGATCCTGAGAAAAAGAACTACTCAGTAATTAGAGTTGAAAATTCTTATATAATATGGAGGAAATTTCATATTATATGGGGATATTTCATACCGTAGTTATCTGAACGAAGAGTGTATGACGGTACAAGATGTATACGAATGCTTCTTTTGCCATTAGTAAAAATTATGACTAGACGAGAACTTACATGTATATGTACAATATTTTGAAAATGACTGTTTATATCAGATAAAGAAAAGTATATTAATATATATCAATATATTTATCAGAAATTTAGTACAAACTATACGCTTATTACTTACACTCGGCCAATCACTTATGTCAGAGAAAATAGCCCCCGTTACAATCTCCAACGATGATGAGGAAATCTCGGAACTTGATACATTATTCAACTTACACGTTCTGCTTGGCCTCACGTAATCAACAGATTTACACATAGAGAATGACATACATTCTTTCACGCATCCATGATGATCTAGCCCGATTATTTCCGAAATACCACTTCCACTGTAGCGCCTATTTAAATATTCATTTTTCAATATAAAATCTGATTGTGCAGAAGATATACCTATAAACATAATTCCAGTCATTAATATAATACCTCTTGTACCCAAGTCTTCCATTTTTAAACTCAGCAAAATATCGACATCAAAATAAATAAATAAATAATAATAATATTCTATCGCCCTTTTATAGCAATTCATATATGCTATTTGAGAACTTTTTAACGGTACAACAAACTATCGGTCTAATGCGTCTGTCACATGATCTGCAATTTCCAATGAAGTTAGAGACAGTGCGTTGACGTCATTGGTTTGTTTTGTGTACTCACTAGAGAAGCAGAGTTGGTAAAGTTTGAAGCGTCATCAAATGCTTGAAATCCTGTATTGCGCCCACAATATTTCACTAACTCATGTACCTGGATTAGATTCAAGTATTTTTTCTGTCATAGGCTTACAAAATGGTCCATTATTCGGGCCTCTGGTCAATACAAGTGGGGTAGACATATCTCAGTAAACCATTGCATTACAATTATAAATCATTTAGTGTTTTTAAAGACGAATTCTTCTTTGGTTTTATGCACAATGCATAATGCTTGTTGATGAACCAGTCATAAAAGTAGTTGCATAACTTTTGTTAACCCTTTTCCTTTTCAAGAATGTCATTTATTTGTTTTATTTGTTCGCGTTTGAATAAAACACTTCTAAACTTGTAAGCCTCTTTGAATGTATCTTCCATAACTGTTTGTTTACGAAAATATTCTTTTTTTATAATTATGGCTTTTTTTCTTATTTCGGTGCCTGGCCTTGTTGATCTATGTTCTCATTTTTTATCTATTAAATTTTGGTCCTACGATATTCCCAGCCTTTAGATAAATGAATGTAAGCAGTTACTTCTTACATTCTTTTATGTGGCCGAAGGTCTTCAGCGTACCTTATTTTACTTTGTGACATAAAAAAATGTTGAAAAGCGGTAGTAAAGTGTTTGAAGCCAGAAATAAAGTTATGTGTTAATATCCCGGATAAATCCAAGTTTGGTTATTTTTTTATTTACGATGTGTGATGCAGAAGCATGCCATTCTATGAACACATCTGCGGATTTTTACCTAATTGAAATATTCAGTTCTGCTTAGGGAGAGGGATATGACAGTTGCTTACGTCCTTGCAAATACTCGATAAAACCTAGCCTGCAACAGTTCTAATTTATCTGTGTAGGGACGACGCTTTAGGGTTCCAATCTATTGATTCGAATTGATATCTGATCAAATGGAATTAAAATACACGTTAAATTTGATAAAAGAAATATATTTTTGTCAAAACATTGAGCTGCATAATCGACATAGAAATTATTACAACCGTGTCAACATCGTTGGACTGTATGAAAAAGACCCTACGTCAATTATGAAGGTGGGCCTTAGGAATTAAAATCTATTGTTTTGAATATTCAAATATTCAGATAAAAAATCATTTCTAAATTCCCCTTTTTACGTTTATTTAAACATTATACCTACATAATAAAAATAGTTCATGTTTTTAGAATAAAGGTATCATCAAAATTGTTAAGAAAACAATATTACGTTAACATAAATCACAATCCTCTCTTCACCATTATGAATAGTTTATTACATTTGATAAAGTACTCATTCACCATACAAATTACCTTTCAATGTAATCAATTAGCCAAAGCTCTTCATTTACCATAATAATTTGTACAAGTCATATTTATTCTATCACGACAAAAACTGCCTGACAGTCTCCGCGATGATTTATCGTTTCATCATCCTACACTGGTTAAAAGAATTATTTACGGTTAAACAGAATTCTACTTATTATCAGACGAGTTGAATTGATGACAATTTTCGTTTGTAGAAATCAAAATCAATTTGTTATGTTACTTGTATTTAAATAGCTGACCATCGATTACATATATGGACGATTCTATGATAGCCATGTTGATCAAATATACAGTATACATGTATCATTAATATTCAAACGTGTCTTTTCACACTTTTCCTATTGTACCATGGTATAAAGTGAAAAAGAAATATTCTTTCCACTTTTTTTGGGTACAGTTGGGTTGGGGTTTAAAATATTTTTTCATTATTTTAAAAGGAAAAAAAGGAAATTTACACAACAGCACCTAAAATTTGTTTTAGTTTATTTGGATATTTTTGGAACGTGGAAGTATTTATATCTATTATATGATCTCAATATAACTGCAATCTTATTGGTTCAAACAATAGTAAACAGAACAAATTATAAAATCATTTTTGCCGCCCTACCTGGGTTTATTTCCCTATAATAAGAAAGTCGGGATCATCAATTCATACCTTACATAATTTGTATGTATGTACAAAATGTTCTATAATAGTTTATCTATCAATAATCAAGTTATTGTAAAATTTTGTCATGTTTTACAATAAAGATTAATTATTTTTATCCATACTGTCTTTTTTATGAAAAAATGTGTACACTTAGCAATAAAAGGTCTTACAATTGCCCGCCTATTATTTTCATCTTCTGTTAACGTTAAATGTGTCCTTTTGTTGATATTTCATGCTAACTTTAACTTTAGATTTTTTTTCAAAACCTGTGTGTGTGTGTGTGTGTATGGTGTGTGTGTATGCGTGCGCCCGCGCGCGTGTGTGAAGTTATGCGTAAAATGTTTTTTTTCTCTTCCAGACAAATTAGCTTCATTTAAACTCTTAATCTTCAGTACCTAAAATAAATGATTAACAACATAGAACTTCACCAAAATTTATTTCTATTATCTTTCACATTCCAAAAATAAATGTAAAAGCGTTTCTTCATGGATGCAACAAACGTTGTATAAGGTTATATTTTTTGTATTTTTTCTACAATTTGATTTTAGCCTATTCATATAATAAAACAATTACTGACTAGTGAGTCATTTAATGTGATGTGTTATTCACCGGGGGATAACATATTGACAGCACCGGTCAATATTTGTATAATATAGAGCTCCATATAAGACTGCATGATTTTATAAAATTACGGTTGAATATGAGAAAAATAAAATAGAAACACAAAATATTAGTCTACATTTCATGAACTGACTGTTGCCTTTTAAAAGTTTTAGCCTACGTGTCATGAACTGACTGTTGCCTTTTAAAAGTTTTAGCCTACGTTTCATGAACTGACTGTTTGTCTTTTAAAAGTTTTAGCCTACGTTTCATGAACTGCCTGTTTGCCTTTTAAAAGTTTTAGCCTACGTTTCATGAACTGACTGTTTGCCTTTTAAAAGTTTTAGCCTACGTTTCATGAAGTGACTTTTTACCTTTTCCATAACACTGAATCTCACTGCTGCAAATCTCGGACGAAAATATAATATTGAATGCAAGGGAGACATATAGACTTATACCATTATAGAATGAGAATAGAAACAAAACAGTTACCAATTGTAATCAAGTCAATATTAAAAGAACAACAAAAAACGATGACAATCAATAGGACAGAAACAAACAACAAAGTTTCTGGCATGTATTGAACAAAAGTGGATAAAAACCAGAATTTATATAGGCTTTATCCTTATATTACATATATGTTGTTTCAATATCAACACTGTTAATAACAGTCACATCTTTTTGTATTTTGATATCACTATCAGTAGTTGCACTATTGTATCGTGATTTAACTTCTGTAGACGTTTTCCAAAATATTTCCCTTATGCCTATAATACATTCCAGGAAACAGCCAATGAAAAACAGAACGCTGGAGAAAATGAACGCACCTATCTCTGATTTTACCGAGTCTGTGACAAAACCTAAAAAATATGCAAAATAATTGAAAAATATATGTAAACGTGCTATGTTGTCTTTTGTGGTTATCAGTACAGGTATTGAATGTATGTAAGATAGATTCGATTTTGGCTACAGCATCTGATATATCTGTTATTCGTTATTCTTACAGAATTTCTTAATTCAATTTTCATGCATATCTGTATTTTTTTATTAACATTTGAAATCAGGAAATATCACATTCATCAATATGTACTTTTTATTTTTCATAAATTCACCCACGTACTGTATCATATACATATTAAATGAAGTGTATCCCCTCTTAAAACAAGTATAACGGGCAAACTTAACTATACTTCTAAACAAAGCTTATAAGCTTCAACACAACTGGTAACTTTATATGAAGTAAAGAAAAATTAGAAATGATTCTCAAAGTCGGACAATATTAATTATTTATTAGTAAGAATGGGCACAGTTATAATGATTACGTAAAAAATATATAAATAAAGTCTTCTGGCAAACCTGCAAGGGGCATTCCAGTTACAAGAGCTATTCCTCCAAAGGTTAGAGCAATACCATACCCGAATCTAACATCATCCAAAGGAAGTAAAAGTGTTGCCATAAGAAAGTGCATTCCAGCATAACAACCTAAAATTTAAGTAAACGTTTGTTAAAATATTTAAGTGTTGCTTTTTTTTGTAATTTTTACATGCTTACTTAAATTCACTTTCATTTCTTAAATTACCAATTTCTTTATGTAATGTAGATGTCAAAAGACAACATTTCAATGGCGCATGGTATCAAAAGAACAGAAGCTTTTATGGAATTCACATGCGTCAAGTTATGACACAATCTTTCATGATATGGCAGGATTATTGTCCGAGAACAATGATTTTAAGTCACTATAATATATTAGTGTTTCATTACCTTCGAACTTCACAAATGCTTGTGTTGCATGTGACGCTACTAAATTATGATAAATATGTATGCCATGTTATTAAAAAATTATCTAAAATCTACAATATAGCATCATCAATGTATGAAGACGATGTTTTAGCAAGTACTTGCTATTAAACAGCCGAGATGAGTGCGACCTACGTTTAGCTCACATGCCTGACACGCTTATTAGGCATTATGTTTGAATTTATTCAAAGTTACTTTAACCAAATTAAAATATAGCATTTGATCATTAAGTCTAACCTGATCCTTTTGAGTTACAAACATGTTCGATCAAAGTAATTTCAAGATCTCCTGTCAATGAATTAGGTTTTAGATCAATTCAACCTCTAAATGTGACCATAAACTTTTAGGTCCATAAACGTACATGTATTTTTCTGCTTGTCAAACAAGCTCATCATGCTTAACATTTGTGCTAGCTAAAATGGTAGGGTTATTTTACAGCCAATCAATATTGTTTCACACCTCACCTTTATTTTACAATAGACATTGACTGTTAAGTTACTATGCTAGTTCTTGCAGATGACAAATTGGCTTATCCGTCTGGATATTATCTCGAAGATATATGAAAATCCATCGATCCATAGTAAAATGACAGCCAATGAAGCAAACATACCCTCATATTTAAAAACTGACCCCTGTGGTAAGATTGCGACACCCAAGTGGTCTTATTGAGGTTAGCGTAACATGTGAAAAGTTATTTTGTGAACACAGCACACACAATGGTTTGCTATTGTGAAAAGTAGGGCTCGACAAAAATGGTTAAAATCAGAGGACAGTTACATAATCAAACTATCAAATTATACAGACCTAATCCTAAACCAAGGATTCCTGACATTATGAGAAAGGTTCCGAAAGATCTAGACAAAATTATCAGACCCGATGACAAAGAAAGTAGCATTACTCCGGCACTGTGAATAAAAGGCATATAACGAGGCATCTTATGCACAAAAGCTCCAAACAACAACCGCCCAACTAGATCACATAATCCCATTGTCATCAAACAGATATACACTTCTTTTGGACTCTTCTTAAATTCATGCATCAGATCTGGCAAAAAAGTTGCTGGGACATAAGCAACAGCAAATATGATAAATGACGATGCTATGTAGAGAATAAAGTCTGGATTTCTCAACATCTTTAACGGTAATGACTTCTTTACCGGATTCTGACCTGTTAAAATGATATTCGAATTTCATGATTACTAGTATGAAATATATCCTCATAAATTACAGTTCTTCAATTATGCAATTTTCTTTTATAGATGTAATGAATAGTTACAAAATAAAACTATAGAGGTTGCATAAAAAAAGTTGGATGATAATATAATTTAAATCAATCATTTGTGAAAAAAATAGTATCCTAGAAAAGAAATAAGTAAACACTTTTAACAAACCAGATGTCGGTTCGGGACAAGAATCAGAAGTTTGGTTTGGTTGAGAGAACAGAAGTCCAGATGGTACCCCGATCATTGAAATACATGCGAGAACCATAAAAGTCTTCTGCCAGTCAAATTGTTCAATTAGCACTGTCATGACTGGTGGTAATATTAAAGCGCTTAAAGGTATTCCAGCACTTGCCACTGTCAAGGCGACTGGGCGCCATTTCTCGTCAAAATGTTGGGTGAGGGCTGTATATCCGCAATAATGAGTGGTCCCTGCTCCTAATCCTTGTCAGAATTAACAGGAAAGATATAAAATTTGATATTAGTTCATAACTAATTACATGTAAATGAAATGTCATAAATTCATAAACGATGGACTGAAACTTTAAAGTATGTAAAGCATCCAATAGCGCCATGCATTCATATTAGAAAGTATTCTAGTTATTTTCCTAATGTTATTTAAACATGTTTATTTATTTTCAGGAAACACATTGAAACGAGAAGTAGATATAAACTTTAGGATTTGTTAACAGCTTGTTATCTTTGTTTATATAAACAGGATTATCAATAGAATTCACCAGTCATCAATTTCAATAATGATTAACAGATAAAACACATTAATGTTGCAGTGGTGTATGAATAATTGTAGAATCTATCTTACCTGCGAGTAAGCCATATGTCAAATACAGCGTACTGATTCTTGTGGCAAACATGCTTGTCATCATACCGAGCGCCAGAAGGATCGAACCGCATATAACTGGCCACTTTCTCCTATCTTTGTGGTTATCAAACCCATTGGTATACCTGGTATACAAATTTGAATAAAGAATATTGTTGAGATGATTTATTTTAAATTCTGACATCATAACAGTTAATAAAACATGATACAAGGCAAACAAAAATACCGTTATCCTGCCGCTTTGTCCAGGTATCACAATTTAACTGTCGGTATTAATGTTTTGGGAAATAAAAAGAAAATGTAACAAAGTCAGCTAACAATAAAGAGCCTGGTCAGACTGCACGAATACATGTAAACAGACTGACCTTACTCTAAAGAAAGTGTTCAGAATTCCATGTTGTTGTTTTCTTTTTATCAAACATGTGTTTTATAGTTTTTTAACAATGCATGTAAGATGTTAAGCTACTGAAGAACATAGCGCTTAACGTGCAGTTATGTGTCGCAAAGGTAGCTAATTGTAAACAAATTAGTATTTTGACTTATTTTGACAAAACTAATTCACTATAATCATAACAATTGCACAAGGGCAAAAGAAGCAAAAGATAATTCATGTATATGGCAAACGAGTATCTTTTGGAAACTGTAACAAGAAACCAAAACAATAAATTCTTTAGATATAAAAAGGATAGCATTAATGAGGCATTTTTTACGAGCTTTTAAGCACCTATCGATAATGAAGGTAGTAAATTTCGGGATTAATCATGCAAGAAGTTTTGATATTGATATTATAGGTTTCGTTTTTTTTGTGACACTGAAATTCAGTTATTAAGAAATTTGTAAACGCTAATCGATACAATATGAGATTAAAGCTATGCTAATATTGGCTCTTTTTTATACGTGCACATGTCATATGATTATGACAAGATATGTCTATAACGTGATATCACTATATCACTTTTTCATTTAACATTGATGCATTTGTAGAATTATTCCTAATTTTTTTAAGGCCACTTAAGCCAATAATTGCTCTTTTATTTTTGAAAATCTTCCTATTTCTTAGCATTCTGAAACAATTTCCAAACATTTACTAATAAGCCATACTGCTGAGCCATATTTTGCTTCTTTTGCGTTTTGGCAATTAATACAGTTACGGTAAGCACTTTGAATGGAAGTCAAAATACTAATTTATTAAATTTTGCTGCTTTTTTCACAAACCTCATATTCAGCGCTATTTTCGTCATTATGAAACGAATGTTAGCTCTTATTACACAGAGAAAAACAAAACAAACAAACAAACAAAAAAAAAAACACACACACAAATTTAGTAATAGCGGACGCAACATTTTATAGTTAAAAGTGACCAAAAAAAAGAAAAGAAAAATTTTCCGATGATATTCTTAACCCAGGTGTTCCCTTGATGTTATATCAATCAATCATTATATCAATCGATCGATCGATCGATCGATCGATCAATCAATCAATCAATCAATCAATCAATCAATCAATCAATCAATCAATCAATCAATCAATCAATCAATCAATCAATCAATCAATCAATCAATCAATCAATCAATCAATCAATCAATCAAATCAATCAATCAATCAATCAATCAATCAATCAATCAATGAGTATCTAGTGGGGACTATGAGTAAATAAAGATATACAATTATATTTTTGAGTTAGTGCAGTGGTACTTATCTCACTTTAACTGCAGAAGTTTGCGCATTCGATATCTACTATCGCTATAACACTCTTTAAACATCGTCATCCTACCGGAAAAATCCATTCTTTAGATTAATCATAACGTCTAGCTGAACGCGAGTTATGTTTAATGACTATCCGGCTGTTTGAATAGACAATGCAGATGTATCGGAGATATATAAGGGTTTTCTTATTGTGTATGTATTTTATCAACTTCCGCCATAATCCTTTAGATTTGACAAATATATGAAAACAATTGATCTAAAAATAACACATTTAACCTTTAGAAAAGCGGTAAGAATTTTTGGTCTTATTGTATATCCAATAAAGTGGCTTTTGTCCGCCAATTAAGGTGCGTTTCCCTTTTGTCTTTAAAACAACTTTGTTGGTGAGCCTTCTGTCTTTATATGTAAGAAGGATTTTATTGTTTTAGGATTACTCTCAAATTATTTTAAGATTTTGACCAGCCATGTCTTTCCTAGCGTTCTTTATAATGGAAAGTGTGTGAACACACTGGGTAACAGATAAAATCTTATATAAATTACCAATAAGTCCAAGTAATCCATTAAAAATGGACGCGATCCATGCAGCTTCAGAATGGCCAGTTCCTAAATCCAGCCTCATTTCTCTGTATAAAACACCAAATGAGAGACTCATTCCAGCCGAAATCATATGCATGAAATGGCATGCAATAACGAGAATAATTTTCCTTTTCATATCCGATAATACTTTCATCTTTAAAACTTTACTAACAAGTTCACATTTTTAAAACCATATAACTTTTCTAAACTCTCAATGCGTTCTAAATGAGTAGTGGTCCAAATCCAATGTAAAGAAAATAGTATATGTAATACGAGTGAAATGTTTCCACATTTATCTTTTGGTATTAAATATCATTATAACCGTTGACATGGATCATGATTTGAATGTACTCATAAGACTTGAAAGTACCCTACATCACTGAACTGTAAGCTGAAAAGCGTAGGATTGAATCGTAAACTTTTTGAGACATTTGCATTATTGTCCTACAAATCTAATAAATAAACAAAATAGAGGCAGAAACATCTGCGGATGTTTCAAAATTCAAAATTGTACCAGTTCATAGTAAATGTTGAATTCTGCTTAAGCCGGTGCTAGGGGGCGTGGACGGTAGTTTGCACTTGACAGTACCGTTCATGAACAGGTTCAATCAAACCGAGCCTGCAACATTTTCAATTTTATCTTGTTGGGCTTTCTTTAGGGATTCTTATTTTCTCTATTTTTTGGCCCCAGAATCACCAATCTTATAATTGAATTTAAACCAAACAAGTTGCTGCTTTATAGTAAAAGTAAAACAGCAATTTGTTCCGACATGAGCCCTAGGTTATTTGTGTGCGTACACCTTATGTCGAATGTTCATTTCTCACATTTTTGCAGATTTCTTTATATCTTTGTAGTACAAATTTAAATCGTTTGTAAAACCTAGAATTGTCAAATGTTGTAAATTGAGCTATAATAAATCCTGACAAATTTTAGATATTTAGATTCCCTAGGATATTAACAGATATTTTTTTTCATGTGCCATCTTTGCCAAAACCAGCCATTTGCTAGATCTACCCTGAACATTTCAGGTACCTTAGCGGATGCAATCCAATGTGTCTGTGGGACTTGGGAATTTCGTCTGCTTTGTTCCGTGAGAACTTACACGTGAGAGTTACTCTATCACGTTTTTCTTCGAAAGTACGATCGTGAAAACACAAAATTATATCGAGTATTTTCGTATCGTCGTTGAACGGGACACCATACAGGAGGTAGGGGGAATCAAATACTGTATTTATATTGTGAATTTCAGATGATAAAAGTACTATAGTGTAGTTTTCCTTTTTCAAAATACATGTAATAACATTTATTTTATGAACATATTTACTGCAAGCTGTACACTTTTCATCAGCAGTTAGATAAAATCAAAATGTTTATATAATCTAAATTGACACCCATTTAGTTTTATAATTTCGTTCGTAATTGAACAAAGGGCTAAAACGTGTCGTCCCTGTGTCGGCTTGAATCACCAACCTTTTGGTTAACAGCCGAACGCGTTAACCGATTGCGCAACAGAGACGATATGTACCATAGCGTATGCAAGCCTTTATGTTAACATACGTTATTCATTAAATTTAAAAATAGACCATATTATGGTAATCTAATCACAAGATTTAAATTATTTGTATACTAGCTTTAAAACGCAAGAAGAAAGGAAAATATTTTAAAGTTTAGGTTAAATGAGTTGGCATAAACCAGCAACCTTTTAGTTGATAGCCGAATGTGTCATAATTATATTTATCAATTATTGATCAATCATCATTATAATAGTTAATTTTCTGAATTATGTTTCTAATTAAACTCAACTTGACAGCGAAAATTGAGTGCAATGTCAGTATTTATTGTTCACAAACAATTTATTACAAAATCTTAAATTTCAAATTCGTCATTTCTTTTAATTAATTACATAAACCGCAAAAAGTTGATCGTCAAAAACCGAGA